AAAGTAGAATTTTCCCTGAACTCAGCGTGCGAATAGCGACTTATGTTAGTCAGTCACCTTCTCACGATCGTCCATATACATGGTGGTCCAAAAGTCTCCATACATAGGGAAAATTAACAATTTTTAACAAAATGTAAATTTATTCACAAAATATGCTCTACATGGTTGCCATTACTTTGAAAACACATACGGATGCGACTCTCCCATTCATGGTGAACTCGCGTTAATACATCTGGTGTTATGCGCGAAATTGCACTTCGAATGCGTTCCTTTAGGTGATTCATGTTCTTCTTTTGACAAAGGCATTCTTAAAGGGTATCTGAAAAAAGAAAAATAATTCAATATGTATGTAGAGCATATTTAGAAAATAAAGTTACACTTTTTTCAAAAGTTTTAATTTTCCCAACGTATGGAGACTTTTGGACCACCCTGTAAAATAAAATTAGAATTTTTTCTTTACTCAGCTATCCAATAGGTACTTTTTTGCCAAGTGTAAACTTTCTAGCGCCCTCTGTTTTGCTGAATCAGAAAATTCGGGAAAATATGCATTTTGCAAAATATGTGCCCTGAGCCGTTTTAACCAAAAAGTACCTTCTTTTTTTTTTACCGAATTCCATCCTCAGTGAATTACATGTCCACAAAGTTTCAATATTATGCATTTGCCCTTTTTGCTGGTGATAAAAGATGTTTAGAAAAGCCGACCTATCCAAAAGCTATGCCCGGAGGAGATGCAACATGAAAGCTAAATACTCCCTCAACTCAATAATAATAATATCATGTCACTTATACGTGTGCCAAGTTTCACCTTTCTATTTCTGTCCAATTCGCCACGACAATTTTTTTTTCAAAGCATCGCCCCTCGAAAAAATTACCCCAAGAGAAGTATCGAGATTAAACATTTTTATTTAACTCCTTGTCTCAGTAGTCACATTCATATCCCCCAAGGCATGGATCTTAAATTTTACATTTTTCCTGAACTAATCGTCTCGGTAGGCATGTCCATGCCAAGTTTCAGCTTTTCATGTCTCTCCGTTTTACTGAAGCAAGAAATTGTTGCGGAGGGGGAATGAGTAACGCGACTTGGAAGGCATAAGAGGCCGAAAGAGTCAACAAACGGCCGGGAATTGAACCCGGGCCTTCTGAATGCCGGTCAGGTGTGCTACCACTACACCACCGAACCCGGGAAATCCTGTCAGGCCTCTCGATGCCATCCTAATCCGTCAAAATATTTATCTTTAAAAACTTCTCCCCCCCCCCCCCCAAAATGTGTTCCCCCTACGGCATGTACCTCCTAGGTAGTATTTTTTCTGATTTCTACATACCAAAAGGTACATGTGTACCAAGTTTCAGATTTCTAACTCCTCTAGAACATTGTTAGAATTAGCATCAATCAGTCAGTCAGTCACGATCGTCTATATATATTAGATGGATATGGATATGGATATGGATTATATTTATGGATGGATGGATGGAGGATATATGGATAAAAACAATCAATCCCTGAATGATATTGGGAGGAAAATGTCTGGAATATCTCATCCCGAGGGTGGGATGAGGAAGTCGGGAGAGTCTGATCCCGAGGCGGATAGAATCCATGGAAGAACGAGACTTATCACCAGTAGACGATAAGGTAGGCGGGAGAATGTATTGCGATCCCTTTCAGAAGCAACATGGAAGAGGTATAGAATAATCGCGGAGATTTTCTTTGATAAGGATGCTGCTACAGGGTGTCCCTGAAACCCCGCCCTAAGTTTGGACGGAGACTAAGACTAAGTGAATGCACACATTAAAAAGATAGAATTATTATTTACGAGGGCAAGTCAAAAAGTATCCGCAAAGCGTATTTTTTTTGCGATTGGCCAAACTGCTGAATTCGCGCGAATCCGTAAGCACGGAACCTCCCTGTATTGTAGTGACATATTTAGCCTTGACTGTTACAGATGTACTAGGTCGTCCCAAAAATTCTGGGGCAGCTGCGAGGAGCATCGTGTCAGGATTCTTTTGACTCGAAGCCCAAAGCACTGCCGACCACAATCTTTGAATGAAGATGATTGGGAAAAAAGGCATCCACATACCACAACTAGGTGTCAATGACGGGACTACATAAAGGAGGAAGGAGTCATACGCGAGATGTGGTGTGACTCAGAAAGGATATGGCTATGGCCCTTCTACAGCAGGCTATTTGCACTTGGGTTATGAGGCGTCCTACACTCTATTCGAATCGAATTGGGAAGTTAAAGGGAGCTCAAGAGTGACGGGGGGGGGATCTTCACCCCCTTAGGAGCGCTTCTATCAAGTGCTGGCAGGACACCTAGCGAATGAAAGGTGTAGCTTCAGTAGAATCCTTCAAGGGTCTCAGACTCACATTCCAGGGAGGGACCCCTGCTCTGTTGAGCAATGAATTATGGTTTTTCAAAAAGGACATGGAAAGTGGAAAATATTGAGACTATCCAAAGCCACTTGAGGCGGAGCTGCGAGTATTAGATTAGATAACACACTGATTTCCAAATTCGGGACTATTTTTAGAATATCCCTTCACATGTAAGATTTTTTTCCACGGATGAATCCAGCGATTGAATGATAGAAGGAATTTCAACGTTGTCATCCGGATCGGCCTGAGAGTGTTATCTTCAATTAATGTGCTGTGGAGTTCTCCTCATGCCCTAGGTGAGGTAATGAGTAGAGGAGAAGAGTCCCCCCTGTTCCCACGCCAAGTGGCCGAAGCGGGTCACTCTTTGCTTCACGCCCTCGTCCTGCGCTATGCGCAGTTCGGCTTGAAACTTCTGCCGGACAACACGTGGGCGCACCGAGTGCGTCCCGACCCCCTCAGCCGACCAACTCAGTGACCACGGTGTGTGTCGCGTGCCGGGAGATCCCTCCTACGAACATGCGGCTGCATCTCCCCTGTATTTCTTCTACCGTTCCTTCCCCATTGATTATCCAATAAATTCTGCATAGTTGTTAACGTTGTTCTAAGGACGTACCTTCCTTCCTACTTGGAGTCCCCAGAGCGAAGAGAAAGACGCTTCTATCTTCTTAGTACATTCAAATTTTCCATGAGAGGAACAACATAAAATATCTATAAAAGTGAGGGTATGTTGGTTTTTTCGAGTAATGAAAGCCACTAGCCAATCCTCAAATAAGACAGAAAACCTCAATAGAAGACATGAAAAATTACCTGCCTTTACTGAAATAAAACAATTGTGGCAATGAGAGAATTTCTAAGTGAATAAGAAGAATATAATTATTCCACTTTAGATAGAAATTCCCTTTTTCGCATATGAGACAGGAAACTCTGTTCCGTGTGCCTTGGTCCTAATGACTTAATTTTCCAAATATATTTTTTACAGTTTTGAGAATGCCTCCTCTCTCGGGGAAGGCCAATCACCTCTCCCGTCTCGACAGAACTCAGCCACGCTTCTCCGAGATAGTTGAAGTCAAAGACTTGAAGACTGCGGAGCGGAGGGGGAAGGAGGAGGCGGCAGTGATGCACGATGTCCAAAAGAGACGCATGCATTGATAAGGATATCTTCTCGGATCTCTGAAAGCGGCGCAAGTGTTATATTCTATCTTGCGAAGAGTAAATATTTATGGAGCAATCACAATGTGTGCGCACAAAATTACAGAAATTGAAAGTGTGTAGAAGTATCTGAGCACCGAATGCGTTTTTTAAGCGCTCATTCTCTTTCCCACCGAACCGGCCCTCCGATCAGTTCTCATTTCAGCTGATCCTGGATTCCTTAGAAGGCTGCCCATTGTCCAATTTCTGCCTTCAAAGAGAAACTGGTTGATCACAAGTTAATACTTGTGATCAATACTTGTGATCACAAGTTAATACTTGTGATCACAAGTTAATACTTGTGATCAACCAAATACATTTTTTTTCCTGCCAGCAAAAAGGGGAAACGTATGAGGCTGAAACTGGATAGCATGGAGTTCCCTGAGTCTATATTTCAGAATTTAAAAAAAAATTTTGTTAAAAAAAAAATCAGGAAATTTTTGTTAAGTCCCATTTTCGTGAATTATTTCTCGATCCAACGAAACAGAAACAGAAAATTCAAAACTACCTCAGAAGTACCTGTATGATGGCTGAGTACAGGAAAAATCCTACTTTTGAAATATGCACCATTAGCGTAGATTATAGGAGGGAAGTATTTGAAAATGTATTCTCCACCCTTACAAAAATGGACACACGAAAAGATTTCAAGTTAGGCACACTAGAAATAATAGAAGTAATGATTTTGATAAAAATGAAGACTTTCGTCCCCATATGTCACATATTCCAATGGACGCACTTTAAATACGTGTTTGCCATTTCACAAAGAATAAATGAATTAATCGCCATCCAAGGTAAAGGAGCGCCGAAGGCGCAACCACAGCGAGTTTGTTTGCCCTTCGGGCAAACAAAATCGCTAGTAATGTATATAACCCTGATAGGGTATGAACGCCAATGGCCTGTCTATGACACTGGAAAACGGACTCTCCCTTGAATATAATTTCGCGTGACTGACCAGAAAGTCGACAGTAGGTCATGGAGCTTCCTTGGTAAAAGTAGTAAAGCGTGTCCTATATAAAAAAAAAATTTAATTGCAATGAAACTTAATGTCCTCTTTCTCTCGGTTCCTGCTGAAATCTTGTCGGCTACCAACAGCATCTAAAATATATATATTGAAAAGTGACGAATGAGCTCGCGTTTCTTAAATGCTTTTTTACAAATGAATTTGGAATGAATTTCATACTGAACTAGATCAATCGTTTCTCCAGTCAGCATAACATTGAGAGAGCTAAGGGAATCTCTATATATCTCTTTTTTCGTCATAAGTCTGCACTGAAGGCGAATCCAGATATTCAATCCGAAATGATTCATCGCAGTGTTTGTTCCCCAAATTTTTATTTATTTTAAAGCTGGCGTTTCAATAGTTCTACTGCATCTGGAGGCAGCGAGGCAATGCGGTAGAGTCAGAGTGACGTCCATAAATCGCGTGAACGGAATCTTCCAATCACAGGTTATGAAGGCTCAGACGGAGTTGTCCCAACTCTCTATCCACAGCTGTGGGAACCTCCATTGGAACTCAGGTCAAATTTTCTCGTTTTGATGACCGTCTTCAAGGCATGGAAATGAAGTTATCCAGATCATCGAAAAAAAGTCCGAACATTCCATTTCACTCATATCTTGGCATGGAACCAGAAGTTGAGAAACCATATTGAGACCATATAGCTGTAAAGAATACAACTGGAGACGTTACCTTGAGTTGTGGATGCTGAAACGTTCGATTGACGACCACAGTCTTTCATAGCAAACACATCCAAATCCTTCAATTCGGTTCCATTGTGGCACTTCCCAGAAATACTCGTAAGAAATTTCTCATTGAGAACCAGCCATGCTATGTCACAATCGCATCGGATAGGATTGCCTGGAATAAGGACACGACGGAAATAGCAAAGAAGCAGTATAACGAAGTGACGGATGAATATGATAACATGGTAAGAAATCGTGAAATTCACCTGTTAGATTGAGGACTCCATATCCCTTCGAGAGGATGTCCAACATTGGGCGGAAGCTCTCCTCAGATAATACAACTATTTCATTGTTTGTCAGAAAAATCTCCGTATTAGGTCCTAGACCTGGAATGCAAATAAAAATACCCCATGCCATGATCTAACTAGAAACTGTAATGCTTCTTTCGAGCATGCCAAGGATGGGCGGTTTGCAGCCGACGCCTGGAAGTCATAAGAAAAGAATTAGAAAGTTTCAGATTCACTTTGAAGGAAGACCCTTGAGACACAAAGTTATGGTGTTCGGCCAATCGATTGCATCTGCATATGGTTCGGCTAAGCTTGAATGCCTCAAGTTAGGTATTTTCTCCCATATACAAAGATTCTCAATCCACTGAGAACCAAGAAACCTCTTGGAATGGATCCATTGCCGGAAGTATGCAAATGACCTCAATCGTTCAAAGCGTAATTCTGGATCTTGTTTTTTGTGTGTGTTTCTGCCGAGGTGCATTCTCTATATTTTTTTATCCAACGAAACAGAGAACAGTAGAAAGTTGAAACTTGGAGAAGAAGTACCTGTCGGATACTGAGTACAGAAAATATCCTATTTTTAAGATAAGTCCCATCAGGGCAGTTTATGCGGGGGAAGTATATCAACATTTATTTTTCGCTCTATTATATGAGAGCATATGAAGAAGTCTGAAGTTAGGCACACAATAGATTAATGGAGTAACGATTTCAATTAAACCAAATTTCTGTTACATCCCCTCACGATTATGAATATTTCAATATTTCAATATTTTCATTTCATTATTCCGTGCTATGGATGGAGAATGTGATGGAAAGGAACTAACCCCCCGCGGTAATACAAAGCAGTGGCCTTCAGCGTATGTGCACAAGAAGATGTGGGAGAGTGAACCATTGCATAAACAATTTAAAGTTGAATTGGTTAACTTACATTAGCGCTTCCTGAGGGGAATTAGCGACTCCGATAGCGTACATCATTGACTCGAAAAAGTGTCCTTCGCTTCGGCAAAGTTTGAATTTTTTTTTTTTTTCAATGCCCATAAAAGTACGAGTGTGAGTCAAAAAGTAAAAGTACACCTGCAATCGTGACGTAGAAATACAAGTAACAACGTTAGAATATGAGCCCCGCGAATAACGTGACATAAGACATTCCTGTCATGAGAATGGGCATGAGAAATGGTGGCTTGATTTCACCAAGGAAGAGTTGCGTCCTGTGATCCGTTTCATGGGCGAAAAAGGCGTGAACGGTACCGAAATTCATCGAAGACGCGGGCAATTTACAAGGAGAACGCAAGAATTGCAAGAAACAATGTTCACGATTGTGTGCGAAAGTTCTAATAAGGAACGACGTGGGTTGAAGCCGCGGCGCGTTTGCATCGGCAACACTCGTCGAATTGTTGCGACGCACAGTGGACGTATCGATATCGAGCATATTGGAGACCGCGATCTGGAAAGACCCTAATCAGAAACAGAACAGAAAAGTGCGGCAAATGTGCAGCAGCAGCTGTATCGCGCATTTCTTCGGCCAGTCCTAAATATCCTTCAGGAGCGTCGTGAAGCAAGTGTTTTCATCGTCAGTGCAAACAACTTGATGTGCTCCATTGCTCGCAATTACATTCGAACCACCAGGACCAGTGGTAGTAGACGACTCATCTAGTTTCATATCTGATGAGCTTAACTTTAAAAGGAAAGAGAATTTTCCGGTATCGTCCTTGATTGGGCGCTATAGATTGCAGATCGCTCTTAGTCCATGGAGCTCCACTGATATTTTTCTCTGAAACTCTGTGGAAACAAGAACACGAAATTACATGAGTGCGTGAATGAACTTGCACAAGCATGAGGAGGCATCCAAATGAGTTTCATAAAAGCATCTTCGATTTTCGAGGTGCTTCGCGGAATGAGTCATCGCGCAAGTTTTTACATGGTGTCCAACCCTTTCCTCTACTTACGTAACATGCTCTTGGATCTTCAATTTACAAACTCCTTCGGAACATGCAATGGCAGCTCGTATCTATCCTGGAGAAGCAAAAATAAGGTCGGTCATCTAGGTAGATTTTCCATTGGAAGGGTCGCAACAAACACATCATGGATCAAATGTCCAAACCAGTATTTGTGACGATTTTGATGCGGGTATTTTCCATGATAAGATGTAACGAGGGGTCATACCAGTGATGGCTCCTTCCTCCACTTCGGAAATGTTGTTGCCCCAGAGAGTTACTAGTTTCAAGGCCTTGCTCTGGAATTCCAGTACACCTCGTAAAAGGGTTGGTCCGAGATTGGACTCGTAACAATGGAACGTCTCCAGATTCTTCATGCCCTTGATTGCTGCAGAAGGGAGCCCCGACAGAGGATTTCGTGCTGCGCGACCGCAAAACGAGATTAATGAGATGAGGAAAAGCTGCAAGACCAATTACGCTTATTGCTCATGGAATTGAAATAAAAGTGCGCGAACAGTGTCACTGAAGCATCGCATATCACAACTGAATTGAAATAGGAACCATTTCTTCATTCTTGATAGGGTTTTACGAGGAAACTCGTTGAATCAGTAACATCCCTGCAAATACACATTCTGCAAAAACGCTTCCAAGAATCACCGTTTGTAGATTTTTTCAATATTAAGGTATTTCTAAGGTATTAAGGTATTAAGGTATTAAAATGTACTGAAAGAAACAGGCTCTATCGTGCATTAACAAACATCATAAAATATATAATACTCACCAATGGCGAAATCCCTCAATTTGGTAGTCGCCCATCCGTGGAACTCCACACTCGTGATCTTATTGTCTCTAAGATTGAGTATTTCTAGGCTGTCGCTTTTGAAGGCCGGCACAGAGGTCAACAAATTGTTGTAGAGATAGAGTTCTCTCAATTTGGGAGTCGCCCATCCGTCGAACTCCACACTCGTGATCTTATTGTCATATAGAAAGAGTAACTCCAGGCTGTCGCACCTGAAGGCCGGGATAGAGGTCAACAGATTATTGCTGAGCCAGAGTTCTCTCAATTTGGGAGTCGCCCATCCGTCGAACTCCACACTCGTGATCTTACTGTCATATAGAAGGAGTAACTCCAGGCTGTCGCTCCTGAAGGCCGGGATAGAGGTCAACAAATTGTTCCTGAGCCAGAGTTCTCTCAATTTGGGAGTCGCCCATCCGTCGAACCAACACTCGTGATCTTATTCTCATGAAGTTTGAGTATTTCTAGGCTGTCGCTCCTGAAGGCCGGGATAGAGGTCAACAAATTGTTGTCGAGCCAGAGTTTTTCCAGATATTGGAATTCATGAAGAATATGAAAAGGAAAATTCTCCAGAAGAATATGTTGAATACGGAGATCCACATTCAAGTGCTTCACAGAGTGTATGGCTGACGGGTGAATTTTCCTGACTGAAGTGTTGTTTATCCTTATCTGCTGGAAGGAAAGATTCCCAAGTAATCCTTCGGGGAGCTCCACTACTTTCGTATTGTCTTGCATGAAGAATTGCCTGCATGGAGAAAGGCCATAGTACGTAGGTCAACATTACTCTTTTGGATTAATAAATCGTTCTTATGTCCGTAGCGATGCAAAAATGTGTTAAACATTTTTCCTCATTCTTTCTATAAATTTTCGACCAAGTGAATATAAACCTAGTATTTCACTAATCTTCTGGAAAAATTTATTATATTTACACGGAAATCCCGCTTCGTCTTATTTCCGGTATTTTCGTTTCTTTCCTAAGAAATTTTAATCCTATGGATGCTATATTTTCATTTACACCTTTAAGTGAATGCTTGTTTTCCTCAATCGCTTCGCAAAAGCTTGTAAAGAATATTTTACGAAAAATTCTCAATATCAAACAGATCTTGTAATATTGACATCTTGAATAAGCTACACGGACTACTAACTTCTCACATGAATGGTAGTGCACTCTGTTTTCTCATAATATTTACCACCAGCATGACATGATGATGATATGAGAAAAAGTTTTTGAATCTCGAATGATAAAAGCAATTGCGACGGTGTTTCCCTATCGGATTCTGGGAAAATGAAGAGAATCACAACTTCTGCATTCCGTCGGGAGAAGATCCATTCCGAAGCAAATCAAGCTCCTTTGCACGTTCATCATCTACTTGTTATGGGTGCTGGAGTCTAAATTCTCCGGACAAGGAAAAGTAAATTAATAAAATGTTGGAAGCTTTCCTTCTCTCCTTAAACTATGGCTTTAATTGGACAGAGAGGCGAGAATGTGTCGCGATCTTTTTCAATAATAGTAAGAAACATGTGCTGAATAATCGCGTGACAATTGTTGCAGTTTTATGTGTTGCAGCTGAGTCAAAATCCCACCAATTAACGAGGATGATTCACATAATGATTAAGAATATACCTGTATATTCTTTTTGTAGTATTTCGAGTGAAAAGACGACATCTTCAAGTAATGAAAGCAAGTACGGTATCCTAGCACCAGAAATGAAGTCCAATCCTAAGAGGATGATTGAATTTACAGAACATTAACTTTCTTTCATCACCCCATCACTCCGATTTTGTGTTACACTGGTGAATGTCATGATGGTCATACGCTTCAAGGCTCACATCTATGTTGATATTCAAAAACACAAAATGAAATTTGCGGTGTACATGCAGGAGATCATTACTGACGAAGTTGTAAAATTTTATCGAAATCGATCATCGGAACTTAGGTCCAGGTCAAGTCAAGTTTCAAGATCACTACAAATCATGTAGACCAAGGTCATAGCTTTTAGCACCTATTGTTACATATCATCTGATTGGGAAGTTCATAACATATACAACGATACCATATTCACGTATGCATCTTAATTATGAAGGGATTTATAACAAGTATTTTGATCCCTGGGTTCAACGTGCCCTTAAACTGTCGAATGTATTATTATCATTCTCAGAATACATAATGCATGGCGCTGACATTTGTTCCAGTTTGTCTCAGTAGGTACTATCGGCATACCGAATTTCATTGAAATCGGAGGGGATCGGGGAAAAAATTGAAAAATTGTGCGGACTGACATGGAATCACCCAGTGGTGAAAAAAGAAGGAAAAGTAATTATTGCTCACCACAGTTGAGTAGAGGGCCATGAGGCATTCGCTAGAGCTGAGGAAATCTCAGCAGTAGAGCTTGCTCTCGAACAATCCACTCTCACATCGCCATCCATATATTTGGTGCACGTGCAGGGTGATATGTCTTGGGTGGGGCATGATTGCTCCGTTATCGCAGACACGAAGATAGGAAAGAAAATGAATAGGACGGCCAATAATGGATTCATGACGTGATTTGCAATCCGAGAACGTCAGGAAGAGGCCCGAGGTGTTGGGTATCCTTTGAGGTCTATCTTTTTGGGTGATGGAATTTGATCCACGTAGGTGTGAAAAGTATTCCTGTTGGATCAGAAGGATACTTCTGCACTTGCAGCAAAAAATGAGAATGGAGGTATCCATGCATTAATTTGAGACAATGTAATGCTAATATGAGATATATGCAAACTCACGCTCCTTCATTTTCAAATTCCACCTCTAACATATCAATATTACGTGATTATTCGAAAATATGATACCTCCATGTAGCGGCAGAGCAATCAACAGTTCAACCTGCTTCACACATCTAATATATATATAGACGATCGTGACTGACGGACGCTAATTCTAACCATGTTCTAGAAAAGTTAGAAATCTGAAACTTGGTACACATATACTTTTTGGGATGCATGGTTCAGAAAAAATCCGACTTTGGACGTACATGCCCTGCGGGTACACATTTTGGGGGGAAACGTTTTTCTTAAAAACTGTATATATTGTGACAAATGAGGATGGCATTCAGATAGTCAACTACAGGGCGTTTCATTTAAATTGTACATCTTTGAACGCTCATATCTCTGAGAGGACGCAACCGTTCTTTACGAAATTTGACCACAGTATAGAGCAACCTTTGCCAAATTATTGGACAGCGTTTCTTAATCGCAGCCCCATCAGTTGAAACACCGATTCTGACAAAACCTCTGAAACCAAGATCTTATCAACTTGATGAAATCTTTTGAAGCTCATCATTCGTTAGATAATGCCTTGATCCAGTGGTGCTGAAAATTTCATGATTGTATCTCATCTCCTTACTAAGATATCAATCGTCAAACCTTAGCCACTTAACCCATCCGCTTACACTTAATACTCTCAATGCCATGGATTTTTCCGATGTTTTGGCCTGAGCCCCTGTTACNAAGGAAATGAGGTACAATCATGAAATTTTCAGCACCACTGGATCAAGGCATTATCTAACGAATGATGAGCTTTAAAAGATTTCATCAAGTTGATAAGATCTTGGTTTCAGAGGTTTTGTCAGAATCGGTGTTTCAACTCAATAGATGGCGCTGCGATTAAGAAACTATGTCCAATAATTTGGCAAAGGTTGCTCTATATTGTGGTCAAATTTCGTATAGAACGGTTGCGCCCTCTCAGAGATATGAGCGTTCAAAGATGTACAATTTAAATGAAACGCCCTGTAGATGTCCTGGGTTCGATGGTGTAGTAGTAGCATATCTGATCGGCAATCAAGATGATCTGGGTTCAATTCCGGCCATTCCTGGCTGACTTTTGGCTTTTTTTGCATTCTTTGTCCCATTACTCATTCCCCCACCATAACATTATTTTTTCTTGAGTAAAACGGAGAGGCATGGAAAGCTGAAACCTGGCATGGAAGTGTCTACCGAGACAATGAGTTCAGAAAAAAAGCAAAATTTTAGATCCATGCCCTGGGGGCAAATTTTTGTGAGGCGAAGTTTTCGAGAATTTTTTTTTCATGAGTGAATAAAAAATTATACTTTTATTATATATAAAGGATCGTGAGTAGTTAACTGACATAAGTCGCATGCTGAGTTAACGAAAAATTCAAATTTGGTGTTACATGCCATATGGGGGAAACCTTTTCGGGGAACATATTTTCAAATAGTTGTCTTTGCTTCAAACGGAGGCATATGGAAAACTGAAACTTGGCCTGAACGTGACAGCTGAATCACTGAACTCAGGAAAACATACAAATTTCCAAAATATCGGAATTTTGCGGGGGATATTTCCTGGGGAAGTTACGTTTTCAAAGAATTTTTCATATCCTAGCAAATTGGGTAGAAATAGAAAAGTAGCAGCTGGCTAACACATAACGGACGTGATGTTGATTTAAGGAAAAATTCAACTTTTGTTCTGCGTCTCCTCAGAGCATAGCTTTTGGGTGGGTCGCTTTTACAAATACATTTTTTTTCCTGCCAGGAAAAAGGGGAAACTTATAAGGCTGAAGCTGGGTGGCATGGAGTTCCCTGAGTCTACATTTCAGAAGAAAAAAATTCGTTAAAACCCATTAAGGCACTTTTTTTCAGTCCCATTTTCGTGAATATTTTTTGATCCATGGAAACAGAGACAAAAAATGCAAACTTCGCTTAGAAATACATTTTTAATGGCTGAGTACAGGAAATAATCATGATTTTGAAATATTTCCCATCAGCGTAGATTATAGGAGGGAAGTATTTCAAAATGTATTCTGCACCCTTACAAAAAGGGACACATGAAAAGATTTTAAGTTAGGCACACTAGCAATAAGAGAAGTAATGATTTTCATAAAAATCAAGACTTTCGTCCTCATATGTCACGTATTTCAATGGGGACGCACTTTAAATACGTGTTTGCCATTTCGCAAAGAATATATGAATTAATCACTATCAAATTTAATGGAACGCCGTAGGCACGACCATTGAGTTTGTTCGCCCGAAGGGCAAAGAAACTCGCTAGTAATGGTATAATCCTAAAGAAATGTTGAGGTGTCAGTGAGGGGGAGAATATTAGGGCACAACACGGAAAACACTTAACTGACAGACAAAGGAAATATATTTTCAGGCAACCTCAGCAGATGCGGCAGGATTATGGTGCCTGTTCAGATTCATGAAAAATATATGACCTTGTGATGCCACGCCTCAGTTTCAATGGTGTGTCCTTTTCCAGGATGAACGAGTAATTAGTGATAGGAATGCGTATTTAACAGTTTTCATTCTATTTTATTGTTTATTCTTGACATTTCATCTGGAAAGGAGATAGAATCCACATATTCCGACTTTCTTTCCCTCCCTTCCGAGATGCCCCTGCAGAAATGCCCAGTAGCGCAGGAAAACAGGGCCTCTCGTTGTTTGAGACACAAGCAAAATTTTATGTAATTTCGTATTGAGAAACAAGTGCTGCTTCCCATCTCTCTCCCTCTCTCATTTCCCTAAGACCCGCGAAGAATAAGCGATTCTAATAGATATAAGTTTCCCAGCCGAAATAAGTAAATCTATCTCTCCTTTCTTCCTAATTGGTTGTCGGAAAACCTCGAGACACAAGCGCGACCCAGAATCAGGAAAAAGTGTCTTATGACCATTGCCCAGTTAGCAATTTATCCCTGTGCCTAAAGTGGCTTATCTCCGAGCTTGAACTTCTCTAAAAGTTGGGGTCAAGTACATCAGCCCGCACATGCATCCATGTACCATGGGTGGCATGTGCATGGGCCGTAGCAAAAATGACCGCGTTATCTGTGGCACCCTCATCGATGGCCCAACTAAGGCCGCCGCCCAAGAGGCAATTTTTGCAGTGCAACAGTCGCAAAGGAGCCCCCTGGGACACATCCAGGAAACTGCAAGTAATTTGATTGATCGAGGCTAGAATTAGGGCCTGCCTACATCGCAGTAACATCACAGGACCCCCGCACATGAAGTAATAATCGAGCGACTATAATATTTATCGATGGAAAAATGAGCAGGGAGCAATATCCTGCGACGGTCGTGAGATGGTCGCACGACCATCGCAGCACCCAGGCATACGGATCAATATCATCTGGAGCAACGGTAGCACGACATAAATTGCCTCATGTGCGGCGGTCTTTAGGCTTGGGGCACGTTATTGACAAAAATAATCTGGCTTATCTGTCTGCACCTTGAAGCATGACACCAACGTTGCACATGAGTGGGCCACTCCATAAATGTCTGCTTTTTCTGCGGCAACCAGCTACAATGGTAAAGACACCTACAGTACTAGTATCGCTGGTACAGGAGTAACCCTGCCTAGGCATTAGTCTGAACCCTGGATAGGCAGGAGGCATAAGATAATCCAAATGTTGATATACCCCTGAAACGTACTCATTATAGTACGTTTCAGGGAAGGGTCCATCCCTCTTTGCCCTATAGCATATCAATAAATCTAATCCCTAATTTCTTCATTCCGACTTAGGGAGAAAGATGTGGCGCATTGAATACGCGGATTCCATCATTGTTCTAAATGTCATTTCGGATAAGGTTACCCGAAATAAGTTAAAAGTTCTTATCGGAAATATGAGCTTGTAAATGGCCTGGAGTCCATAAATCTGTTTCGAAAATGGGGATGAAAAATGATTAAATGTTCATGTTTATTGATTCTTATAATGAGACCAGGCAAGACATATGGTGAGCCATCAGATTTACTTATATCGTGGAACGGCGAAGGCGTGAGCATTGCGAATTTGCTTGCCCTTTGGTGGAAAACTCGTCAGTACATAAAAAGAAGGTACCTTTCATGAAGCATGAGAATTCTTCCTGGAGATTGATGAAGCTGAGGCAGTCACTATATTGGAGATTAATGGGAAATACGCATGGAACAAGCTTTCACCTTGCAAGTGACACTGTGGCACGACGCAGTGAGAAGCCGAGAAGAGAACATTCCCTATTGGACTCTTCTCTCTCCCCGCTGTCGATGTTCGTCAGCTTCTTCCTCTGCGCATTCCCTCGCCCTTCCTCGTCCATCTTTTCTCGGCTGGCTCGTGGGGTGAATAGTCAAGTAGTAGGAAAGACATGGAATGTGAGTCTCTTGAAGCTCGAATTGACTGTCGGACTCACAACAGAATAGCCCTGTACTTCGGTACTTAGAAGGCTATGAAATGTGTTGCCATGAAATGGAACGTTGTCATCCGCTTAATGAAACTATATAGCATATGAACCTGAATTTCCCCTAATGCTCTGGAAAAATGCCTGCAATTCGGCAATCCTTCATCGTTTCCTTTTTGGAAATTTTTTCTCCTTCTTCGTAAAATATTACTATTTCATAAACCTCTCAAGAGTGGGATGCCCAGATGGGCAACGAAAAAATGAATAAATTTGACGTTTTCAAAGAGTGAGATTATATTTTCTCCACTATCACAGGCTGATGCAGCTTATAATCTACTGGAACGATTTTGTGATTGGAAAGGAAGAAAGATTCCAATTTCGACGCTGTTGATGTTCTCTAAGAGGAATGCAAGAAAGTTGAATTTTGCAACGGGAAGGGGTTTAAGAAAAATAATAGGTGCAACCAAAGCCTTCTCTGAAACTCCCTCTGCCTCCCGTTACAGTTTCTCATTAAAAAGAGAGAGGTGGGAGAATGAGTCGTTATCTTTTTCGAAAATGATGAGAAGGAAGCACTGTATAGTCACGTCAGTGAATAGTACTTGCAGGTTTTGGATGATGATGTAAGCACCAATAGACCAATAGATTAGCGGAAAATCTCAAAGGAAGAAACGAAAATTCTCTGCATTAAATGAAAACCGATTTCGACGATGCATGAAAATTTACTGGGCAATGAATGGAAAGGTTCTGTTTAAGTGAGAGAGGTGGAGATGTGGTTTATGCAAATAATCGGAATCTTCTTTTTGCGCAATATAAGGAAACTCTTTCTCATGTTTTATTCAGAATTTCTTTAGAACTGTTTACAGCGTTCGGGAGACCGGAGATATTATAATACTTCAGAAATAGTGGAAGCTCCTTTCTTGCCATAAATCTCAGTCCTCCATTCGTCTGCTGGATTCCATTCAAGAGCCTTCATGTATGGCTGTATTCGTGCGAGAGCGTGTGAGCTCAACACGCACTGTAGTGTAGCGCATTAGGAACAGCCTTGAGGAAGGAGGCCTGAGGGGATGAGGAGGAGGATTTATTGTCTGGCATGATACATGCCAGGCCCGCGGAGTGAGATATAAAGTATGCCATCCAATATTGCCAACAGCCCAGCGGGCCTCCCAGAGGTGGCTTATCGGCCCGTGGATCTGTAGAGTCGTGAGAGGACTTGGTATTTACTTTTGATACTCAATCCGACCTTCCCTTCACGGGGATAGCCCTTTCTACGATGCATTCTTTGAGTCTGTTCCTGAAGGAAAAGTCGGATTTTCTCGGGATTAGGCGCGCTTTGTCTGCCAGCATCATTTCGTATCCGAGACGAGTAGCCGTTTCGTCTGTTATTAATATCTAATCTTGAAATATCGCTGCCGGAAAAAGTCGGAAATGTCCCATCCAGAGGGGGAGGGGATGAGGAAGTCGGGAGAGTCTGATCCCGAGGTGGATAGAATCCATGGAAGAACGAGACTTATCACCAGTAGACAATGAGGCAGGGGTGAGAATGTGTTGCGACCACTTTCAAAGGCAAAGTGAAAAAGGTGTAGAATAATCGCGCGAGTAAAAAGTACTTGGAGGTTTTCTGTGATAAGGATGCAGCTCCAAGGTGGCACTGAAACCCCGCCACCAATTTGGACGGACATAGACTAAGTGAATCTACGCATCAAAATTGTATTATATTATTTATTTGACGTTATAGTATCCGAATAAGGAAGCAGGGATTCAGTCTTCTTGCCACTGAAATAGGTTCCCATTTTGATCAGGACACATACGGCATCGCCAGGGAAAGTTATTCACTGCTTTCTGGCAAATATACAAGCTCATGGCATTCAGTCTCGTGGAAATGGCGTTCATGTCAGGGATGTTTCGGGGATTCTTAGCATACACCTCCTCAAAAAAAAAAACAGCCCACAGCCAGCTGAGACAAACTGTTAGTTTCAACAGCAGTTGTTAAGAAAAGTTTAGGCTTTCCAATAATACAAAAAGTCACTTCCATCAGTAAAATGAAGAAATAACTACCGCCTGCGGCCGCTACGCTGGCCGTCTTATAGAAGGAAATTTGGTTCTTCTACTGTGAGCATAACGT